AATTAATGTGGTTCGCTGCGAGAGAACCAAGGTCTGCACTGACAGGCTTGCCAGAAGGATATTCTCTTTCAAAATAATTCACTCACAGTGAGTTTTGGTTTGCACTGACATTCTGTATGAAATTAGATTGTCATATGAGCAGCAACATTGTTGCACTGTATTACTGTAAATATTGAATAGTGCTAACTGCTTATTGATGAAACAATAATATTATAACTTTACACTCACTGTAACCATCATTGGTGACTACACCAAGTGGTTGTTTCGTTTTTCTCAGGTATTATCAGTAGTTATTAGATTTCCATAGGTGATAATATTGTTGGCATTGTTGAAAACAAATTTCAAGAATCAAAATATTAATATAATATAACTTGCTGAAACCTCATGTATATAATAGAGTTCTGGCCAAAAAACACAAACTAAAACTCATACAAAATAAATGTGAACAAAACAGATTTATCAGCTATTCTATCTTTCTCAGAACAATAGCCAGTTTTTGTGCCAAAACATGGAGGTACTCCATGGTCTAATCAACAGTTGTCCAGATTGAGATATCACTGGCATAGCTCTAACAATGGGAATACGCCTTCAACGTTTCAGATGTACATAAAATGTGGAGATAGAAAGTCCACTGATAACTACTAAGAATTTTGCAGGGTCGGCAACAATCCTAGGAGCAGCATTTTGGGGCTTCTCTTATGATTTCTACGCGTATTTCGCCACAAAATGGTTGACTGATCTGTAAGTACTTATTTTATATTTTTTGCTAGATCCCACCATTCATACTTTGATCATCAGGCACCTGTGCTTTGAACACGCTCCCTACACACTATCCGAGCAAAAGTATAGTGCAGCAACAATGCATTTATAGAGAACAGATCCATTTTCCGACATTGGGCGAAACATTCAAATTTCCAAATAATTTGCGAGATATTGTCGCTTGGATACACACAATTCATTGTGTGTATAAATAACTTTAACATGAAGTGAAGTGAAGTGAATAAGCAGAGGGGAATTACATACCAGAAACTGGGCCAACGATAGGATCACCTTATGCAACCAAAATGGCAGACATCACATAACCTTTGACATGGGATTGAAAGTGCGCCGCCTATCGACCTTTGCATTGTTTTATTTTGTTTTTCTGGGACGGGCTTTTCAGTACGGTAAATTCAAATGTCAATTAATTTTTCAATATATAGTCATATTAATCCATTGAAGTGCCTGTGAATTCATACATAGCTTGTGCTTGACTGCAGAAAAATATTGTTCCAGCGTTTGTTTTACAAAAAATAGGACAAACATCCAAGAAAGTTTTGATTTTGCAACATGACATGTCAGTCAGAGGTTCTCCAAACTTAATTTTTAGTTTTATATTGTTGTGAAGAATTGAAGATATTATCAT